TTGTGCCGCTTCAATTGGTCGGTAGTCTTGAATTGACGCGCGCAGAGCAGACACGTCAAAGCGCCAACGTCCGAAAACTCAAAGTCCTCCTCAATAAAGGGTGTTGCCTCCGGCGCGGCCGAATCAACAGAGACAGTTAAAGGCTTCGCAACAGAAGACGGCCCGGGTTTCTTGGAAGGCGCCTGCACAGAGGGGATGCACAATGAGAACAAAGAAAACCCAAGTTTCTGGAGAGCATAGCCAGGGAAGATGGGTCACCAGAGCAACAGAAGGCAGGACAACACTCGTATCATTTGTAAGTTCCTCCTGCACTTGATTCCACTTGTTGATGTTGCTGACAGTCTGCAAGTAACGGATACACGAAGAGGGTTAGAGAATGGGCAAGCAGCGGGCCTAGATCTTTGGGCATTGAGATACAGTACCTTCTTACTCGCGATCAAAGGCGCAACTTTTTTCCCAGTCGGCGCTATCCCCAAAGATTGAGATGAAGATTCATGGGGACAAAGACACGACGACACTAACCTTTTGTCCGATCGTCGTCTTCATTGTCAGCGGGCGAGTCTCCACCCGCACCATCGTCCATGGAGAATCCTAAAGATACGGCCTTGACGGGCACTGATGAAAAGCGTGGATATTGAGGGTTCATGGTGCATTGAGAGCGCAGCGACATACCAGGCCCAGCCCTCCCTAGTCCCTTGTTGAAATTCAATGTTACGGGCTTGCTAGATATCGGTAAAGCCGAGGGCGCGGCCGGCACGTTGCGAGCAACTGGCTCAGATTCTGCGTGCACCACGTTAACCGGAGGACTACGTCGAGCTGCGACCAGCGCCGTACCTTTTGCTCTCTTCTTTTCCTTCTTCTCTTTGACCTGAACAGCCGCCGGCTGTGCAGGTTGATCCACTTGAAATTCCAGCTGGGCGATTGTCGAGCCTTCATCCCAGTACCGGACCAATGTACCCTCCTCTCCTCCTAGGTTGAGGGACGATGGGATGCAAGCATCATCTCGAATCATGAGATCCGCGATAGGCTGGAAAGAGTAGGGATGCGCAAAGGAGGCTGCGACAGGACGATCTGAAATACGAAACCCGGAAGGGTGCGTCTGCGCCGACATGGTTGCAGCCAAAACAGCAGATGCTGACTAGCGGAATCGTCAGCAGTGGTCAGGGAAATGGAAAATGAAGAGGAACCTGAGCATCCACAAATTCTACAAATGCAAAGCCGAAGCTGGCCATAGTGACCTTGTCTTTGATCAAAATTATGCGCTTCATTCCCTTGGCGCCTTCTTTCCCCGGACCCGATGAAGAAAGCATCGCCTGGTGAATAGCTTGGGGACCGGAAAGAGGATCAAGGCCACGGAATAGCAATACAGCAGCTTGTGAGTTGCCGATGTCGCGAGTGCCATCGTTCAGGTTGCCGCGGTTCATCCTTCCCTTTTCGTGCGGAGTGGCGCTTTGGGAATAGTCAATCTTGACTCTTCGACCATTGTGCGGCAGGCTGGTCTCGAGGGCTTTGTAGAATGCGGCGGTCGCCGATGCTCCATGGGACGCCGGGGGCGGGACTTGTATAAACGGGAAAAGAGGATCGACGAATGCGCGCGCATGGTCTATTGTTGGGAATTGCGCAAAGCCGAAGCCCTTGGAGGAACCTTGTAAAATCCACCGCGGATAAAATTAATGGAGGTGCAGAATCAGAGATACGAATGGGCAAGTGCCTGATGATCTCTCTCGGATAATTGTCACGGTTTCGATGGTACAGCCGTGGGAGGTGAGGTACTTTTGGAGCTGGAAGCCGACTTCAGTAAAGAATAAAAGGACAGAGTCGACGGACATCGGCCTCGGTAAAGTCGGGATCCAAGCCCAGGAAAATGACATGGGGGCTCGGCTCCGAGGGCTGCAAACGTTTTTTGGCGAAGGCTCCTCCGCCACCAGCTCCTCGCTGCATGTGGTCCTGGGACGGGTCGGGGCGTCCTGCATACGAGGCGGTATCGTAGGAGGGTTCTGCGTACGCGTAACCGGCTTCATATCCCTGGGTAAAATATGTAAGAGGGAAAGCGGGAGACAAGACGGTGTGGCGCACGCCAGCATTCATTTTGCGCCGCTTTCCCTCGGCATAGTAGTCATCCTCCCTGGGATGGATATTCGAGGCGTTCCATGACTGCTGTTGCTGAGCCCATGCTGCCTTGCCTTGGTCCCATTCGCGATTATAGGCCATGGAGGCGGAGTGTAAAGGGCAATTGTCACACTGTCACACCAAACCACTCAAGATGACGGACCACGGTGAGCATCCCGTTCTTGTTGCCAGTCTCGTACTGACCGTCGCTTTTAACAGCCCATGTGAAGGTTGTCCGCCTTCCTGCTCCCTATTTTCCCTCTGATCCGCCCCCAGGTTCAAGATGCTGCGATTGAACGGCAGTCGCTCATGGTAATCGCCTTTCTCGGCCCATGGTCGCACTTTCCTTGCTCACGCGTCGTTCATTCATTCAGAGAGAAGACCAATTCAGACATTTCCGTTGGACGAACAGGACAGTACGGAAAGCCTTCTGGGGAGTATTGATTATACCTGTGGGTCTGTACCTCACTATAAATGCGACTCAGGTCCGTTACTTTGAACTTTCAACCAATATACATGCGCTCATTGTCGCACACTAGCATAAATGGGACTGGACCGGGAAGCGGCGGGGTGAGCCCTTGAGCAAGTCGTAGTAGCCCGCAAGAATAAGACCGCGTTTATTAGACCCGCTTGCAGACCTCGATCGCGACCTTGCAACCCGCGCCAACGATGCTGCTCAACAGAGCATGCGCGGGGGCCCGCTGGGCGTCGTGTTCTACCGCAATATCCAGATGCTCCAGCTCATCGTCCCTAAATTCACGTACCACGTCCTTCAGCAGAGGGACGCTGGGATGCTCCGACGGCAGCGATTCCATCTCTTTCAGTTGACTACAAAATTCAGTCAAGTTTTCGCGATAAAAAGCGAGGACAGGCACTCACTCGTCGTAGTGCTCGCCAATGACGGTCTCGACGGCTTCCGTGCAAGCCATAGCAGCTTCCTTGCCCATGAGCGCTGTGACCGCTCCTAAGCCAAAGCCAGCAACTTTGGCAACATCTGAGAGCAACGTCGGTCGTATCCGATGCTGCAGCTGCAGCTTATCCATGACCGCGAGATGCTTCTTCTCTTGGTCCCACATTTCCTAAGCGAACAGTTTGAGTGCGCGCATGAATTTCCGTCGTTTGAACCGACCTGTATCAGCGGTTTCAACACTGTGTCCCTTCCAAGAACAAACATCTGGCCCATGTAGATGTAGTTGGCTGCGATTTCGCCGGCCTGGTCGACGCGTAGCGCGCTGTCGAGTTGTTGTCGCTGGGCATGGGTGATACTGGGGGCCGTGCAGACGGCAGGATCGGTGGCCCTCGCAGGGTCGGTGTAAGCGGCAGAAGGCAGCGCACTGTATGCCCTCCTCAGCGTCAACGGTAGCCGTCGCAGGAGGAGTGCGACCATCACAAGCTTATAAGTTACATACGGTCTCGTGATTGCACCTCTCTTTCACCGTCAACCAGCGTCAACCTCCTTCAATACCTATCGAACTAGCAGTCCAACAGCCAGTCTTATAGTCCAATACTATGTCTACGTGCGTCTATTCATCTCATCTCGGATGGCCCACTCATATCTTGCAGGTTTACGCCGACCTCCCCGGTGAACATGTCCAACGAGAAGGATTGGGCTCCTGACTTGGGTAACATTCCTCTTTATCTGTCTTTCTTTCCCTCAAGTTCTTAAACAGGCATGCTCGACTGGGATTCCACCAGTATCGTATTTACAAAGAGGACGTTGCTGGACTTTCTGAAGTCAGAATCAACGTTAACGTGTTTTATCCACTTGTTGCTGAGCTACCGGCGCAGATATACCGGAACAACCGTGGACACCAATCTGGGTAACATCCAGAAGCTTCCACGTAGGACGGACGTTCATCTGTCCAGCTGCACACTGAGTAACCGAGGATAGGATACGCCAAGTTCGGCAAAATAGCCGACAGTGGTGTAACGTCTACGTCCTCTGTAGCGGCACCCGCCGCGTCCGGTACGACTTTTCTGCAGTAGGTTGAGATGTCCGACGAGCTACTTTACCTCCAGGGTCTGCGGCCACTTCTCCAGCCGCCGACTTCAAACCTACGCGGCGTGTGCGGGAACTTCCTGGGGGACCCCGAACCAATATCTTTGAGGACGAAGACGTTCCTGATGCCCTCTCCACTGCGCCACCCAAAGCCGCTCCTGAAATCCCATCGCCCCCTGCTGTCGATGTACCAGCAACAGCCGACAACAAGGAAGAATCCAAGACCGAGATCAATACTCTCCCGGGCACCGGGATCAAGCCAAGCAGGTATCTAGCACTGCGCTGTGGGCGTCTCGTTGTACCAACTTGTTTCAGACGTGTCCGAGAGGCCCCCGGCGGCAACAGTAGCCTCCAGAGTTTCTGGGGCTCGGATGAACCAGAGGAATTTAAACCCACACGCCGGTATGAATCCTTTCGTGCAATGTGCTAGCACTGCTCTTACGTCTCCTTCCTCAGAGTTCGGCAGGCACCCGGAGGTGGTACATCTGGGGTAGGTCGATGAACACTCTTTATACATGCAGACAAAGGATAACCACGTCATTAGATCTTCTAAATCGAGACCGATGCATGAAATTGTATCACAATAATATACATCTACCCTCAGAACTGGCATTGAACTCCCGCAGGTGTCTAAGCCTCTTCAGGCAGGGATGGTGGTATGAGCCCTGAGCAAGCCCCAGCAAGAGTCAAAGGTACGTCAGATATCATAAAATTAAGATCTTGTCACCAACGGGACTCGAACTCATGCACATCTTGTTCCTGTTGACGAAAATCTCCGTTTTGGCTGACATACGACTGGTGGAAGTGCCGGGCCTTCCCAGGAGGCAACCTGGGTGTCCCCAGACATTAAACAAGTCTCAGACCGATCGATGTCTTCCAAAAAGAGCCAAAATGGCCGAAGCGAGGATCGAACTCGCGCGGGTGTGCACCCATCAGGACTTAAATCTGACACCTTAACCACTCGGTCATCCGGCCGTGTGAGCCCAAGGACACCAGGCCATCCCAAAAAATGATGATGATTGTGTCTCTTCACTGTGTAGGGGAAGATTGGGAACGGGAACGGGAACGGGAACGGGAACGGGAACAGAGGTATTCAAAGCCCTGGTGTGGCAAGAGCTTGGCAGTAAACCACATCCACACAACTCTGGCTCCGTGGACAATGTAGCCCAGGAAGGCTTGCCCTATCCCAAAGGGCAGAAGCAGAAGTGGAAGTGGAAGGAGGTGTAATATGTCGTTATAAAATAACACCAGGTGTACCGTAGGCGAGCGAGATAATTCTACTTAGGACAAGGAGATGGTAGATAGGTTGCCGAATGCACGAACTCAAGGGATACTTCTGGTATGCCAGATAGTGCCTTGAGTTCTAGGTTCCCTGGTATGCCAGGAGAACCCGCTAACCTCCTGGTATGCCAAGGTAGGTTAGTAATCTATACAGGAAGACTTACTTAAGTCCTGCTTCCGTGGCTCGCAGGCGCGTTTCACGCGTCTCGAGACGATGATAGTTTGAGAGTAAAAAAGATGATGATTGATTGTGATCAAAAGATCACGTGAGTACAAGATACGTAATTCGAATATAATATGTACAATTGAAGAGGGCTCGTAGGAGTCCCTCGAAGTCCGTGCACGTCACAAAGCCCCCCACTCTACGAGTACCTCTTCAACGAAATACCCCGGGCAACTCCAAGTTCGTCACCTTGATCTTCGACCAGTCGTCGGCAAAAATCTGTTTCGTCCGCTCCAGTTCGTCTTCGTAATCCTGTCGCGACGGGAGAGGGTGCTGGGGTTGACGCGCCCCGCGACTCCAGTGGCGCAGGAATTCCTTCCACCCGGCCGCTGAACGCCGAGTAGGGTTTCCGCTCTTCACCGCACGCGCCACGAGCTCGAGCGCCGTATTCACGCCGTTTCCCATCTCGCCCGCGTAATGCCCGCACAAGGCCCAGAGGAGATGATCCGGAGGGTAGATGAAATAATCCACCGTTCCTTCCCTGGTGTACCCTAGCATGATACGGACTTCCTGCTCCGAAATTTCGTCGTTGATGATGTACCAGGGATTTTCGTCGGAGGAGTCCGTCTGGCCGCGATGGTGCAAGGTGACTTGGGTCGAAGGTCCTCGCATGTAGCTTCCGACCAGGGAGGGTCGGTATTGATGTACCAACCACGCGAGGATCCCTCCGCGAGCCACCAGAGCGATGGCGTGAGGGCGGCTGAGAACGTTACCCATCGCTATCATATATGCGCCCGTGAAGTCCATTCCGCCTGAACCCCAGGATAGCGGTTGCTCCACATGACCGACTCGGTAATAGTGAGGAGTGATGAGACGCTCGTCGGCAGAAACGATGGTAGGACGGAAGTCCGCGACGTTGCTCTCCGGTATGGCGAGACGGAATGGTACGCAACGCCCTATCGCCAAGTTCAGGATGTCGACGATAGTCTCGACGTCGTTGAATGCTGCCCAATATCTGAATCGCACGAGAGACGCTGGATCGTCCAGAATGAGGACGGCCTTGTTCAGAAATTCCCCACTCCATCGATTCTCCGGTCCGACCGGGAAGAGGGAGGAATTAAAAGTGAGGGTTACTTGGCTGCGAGTCAACGAGTCATCCCAGGCCTCCAGAACGTCCTCCTTCTGGCTTGTCGGAGGTCGATATTTCTTCAGCTGGACCGTGTTGCTGGGACGCGTAGGTGGAGCGGTCAGTGACCGGGAGCCCAAGGCTGAAACGCCCCGCGGGGGAGCGCCTCTCCTGGGTGAAGCCGACCGACGTCTGTTCGAGGGCTCGCCTTTCGAATTCCCTCTGCCGCTCTCTGGTCTCCCTCGCGGGGGGTACCTGCCCGAAGCGTCTATGTCTCTCCAATACGCGCTGGATGATCTGGAGCTGCTGCCACCTCTCGCCTGATATTGTCTTTCAGGAGGGGGACGCGCGCGTTCACTGCGACCGCCTTCGATCCCTTTGACGTCGTTTTTCGGCGACGAAAGTCGGTCCAGCAGCGTCGGCACAGCTGTTTTGCCTTTTTCCGACCAGTGCGTGCCCGGCTGTACTGGCCCCTCCTCTTTTGCGGAGTGGAACGTCTCGTCGGATAGCTCGCTCCGCGCTGTATCGGCGTTTTCGTCCCGGGCTTCTCCCCCCCCAGCTTGGAGCGTGTCGATGGCGGGCGCCTCATCCACGTCCATGCTGTCCGGGAACACGGCTGTCTCTCTCAAGGCGGTGATCAGCGCCTGCATTTCCGACTCGATGGCGAGGGTGATAGGGGCGTTACGCGATTTAGGGAGCTCGACGTCCATTCGCTTCTCGTACTCCACCCAAGCTTGCTGTCCTTCCAGCGCGCCCGAGGTCTGAGTGCCCCAGGTCCAGTCGAACGTTTGCCCCGGGCGCGGAGCGCAGGCACCTTTGAATTTCTCCCGAGCGAGGCTGCGGTCGTCCATCTCAGCTAAGTCGCATTCTGGCTCGTCCTCTTCTCCATAGTCGACTTCTTCCCCTGACGACTCGTCCCCTTGACCTGGATACGGGCCTTGGTACGTCATCCCCGGCTTGTGATAGGATTGCCAACGCCGGAACACGACTTCCAGACCCCGCGTGGTGTAAAGAAAATTGTCGTAGTAGTAACCCCTCCAGTTCTTGTCAGGTACCAAGTGACGGCGCCATCCCGGGAATTCGATCACGTACGCGGAAGCCGCCTTGCGAGGACGACCGCTGCGCTCCGGCGCTTTGCCGTCTGGAGTTGGCACCTTCTCCAGCAAGTGGTGATCGTACTTCGAGATGGCTTCGTAGCCAGGGTGATCCCACAGCTTCGAGTCGAACTGCACGTTGAGGAGATCACTACCCGCTTCCCTTTGCCATCCCTGAAATACGTCGAGGAGTCGCGGATTCAGCTTCGCGAACCGTCGATGGTTGCTCTCACGAGCCGTCCACGCGTAGACGTAGGGGACGTCGTGCTCCACCAAGATGCTGAAGTCGAGGGACTGCCAGTCTCGCGCTAGGTTCAAGATAGCGCCCCGTTTGGCGTAGCGCTGTAAGTCCCACCTTTCGATAGTGTCGCAGGTGCGGAAGGTGAGATTTTTCTTCCAATCCGGGTTCACCGAAGTCCACCAGTACAGGATGCCGAGGCAATCGACCATTTGACGGCGCGCCACCATGATGACCTTATAAGCGTCCCCCAGAGTATCCTTGGAAGAAAGCAATGATTCAGTCGTAAAACGACGCATCGGACGCGGTTGAGTTTTCAATATGGGATCTTTCGCGAAAACCTCATCCACGCAGTCAAACGCTAGGCTCAGATCGTTCACGATCTCGTCCCTCGCGCTGGACGTGACCATGTAGTTTCGATGTTCGGTCAATCTGCATTGAGACGCATCCGGCCGCTTGGCGAACCAGCGCGGGGCTCCCATCCCCTCTTGATGAATGGGGATCCAAGCTCTCCAATGATGCTGGAGGTTGTACCACGACAGTCCATCGCACCATTCCATCTCCAGGTACGACCCATCCGGATTGCAGGGGCTCTGTGGGCTATGGTAGCCGATCGTGTTGCGGAAAGATGGCGCCTCCTGCGGCAGCGAGTCGATGGGACAGTTCACGGCCACCCAAGTTTCGCCATCGATAACTTTCGTTCGGATCGGAGGTAAGCTCCCCCCTGAGTCCGTGAAGACAACGTTGGGGATTGACATCGAGACTCCGACTGGTATGCCGCGAAGGAGTCAAGGACCCGAGAGTTTCCGCCTACTGGTATGCCAGAGAGCGTAGACTATCGTTAGTGGTCAAGGTCAAAGAAGAAGCGTGGAGATGTGGCGATGTTGATGGTGACACAGACAAATAAAAGAAAATAGGATTAATTACAATCTTCCGGAGCGGAAGAGGATGGTATAAAGTTACAACGGTCGGCCGTTGGTAGTACAATGCATCGAATCTTGCGGGTATAGGTCGGAGTGGGCTCCTTTATAAGCCATTCTCCTTTTTGTAAGAAGCCAGTATCTCCGGGGCGTTGCGAAGCTGCTTGCCGCTCTTCCACTCGTCGAACTGTGGTCCGTAACCTTCCCAGCGCACGAGGAATTTAAGCAAGCGACCCTTTTTGAACCACTTATGTCCCACGATTTTCTCCAAGACGTATTCGGGCTTCTCGACTCTATTCAGCCGCGTCTCGGGCATAATGGCGCGAGGTCCGAACTCGGCAGGAGATTCCTGGTACTTCTTGAGGTGGTCGAAATTGAATACGGGGTATCCTGGATATTTGTTGCTCATCCGTAACCGGTAGACTTTGGGATTGATCCGTTGAATTACTTCGAATGGCCCAATCCAACGTTGGACGAGCTTGCCCCCCTCGCCGTGCGATTCCACCCATTCAAGGGTGTGCGGGTTCACCAAGACGCGGTCACCAGCTTTCAGGTGTGGGATGCTTCTGCGTCCGCGGTTGAAATATTTGGCTTGACGATCTTGAGCTAGAGCGATAGCTCGGCGAGCGCTACTGCGATGCATGTCCAAAGTCTTCAGGTAGGAGTTAGCATCCGGATCCATTGAATACGACTTCTTGTCTATCAGGTTGTCCTTGACGAATAAATCCAGCGCGGTGCGGGGATTAAATCCATACAGGAAGAAGCAAGGGCTGGCCCCTGTCGAAGCGTGCGGGTTCGTGTTATAGGCAAACTCCAGTAGGGGGAGCCAGGTCGACCAATTGGCTTTATCGTCACCCACGTACGCTCTCAGCATCGTCTCCAGCAGGCGGTTTACGATCTCGGTTTGGCCGTCATGTTGGGGATGGTGCGCGGAGGAGAACGCCATTTTCGTCTTGAGAAACTTCGCCACGGCCCGCCAGAAATCGGAGGTCCACCTTGGATCTCTGTCGCAAATGATGCTGCTGCTGAGGCCGAAGCGACATGCCACGTTTCGCACGTATAATTCCGCAAAACCTTCGGCGTCCAGACCGGTGGTGCATGGTATGAAGTTCGCATGTTTCCCCAGACGGTCCACTACCACGAAGATAGCATT